CCGAGCCTTCGGGGCTCAAACCAAACATGCACACAAGTCCTAAAATATCATACGAACTTACTCGCGTGATCAAATCGCCAAACTAATACTTAGAACTACGAATCGAACACCAAATCAAAGAAAATTTTCAAGAAAACTTTAAAATATTTTTTTATACAACCGGACGTTCGAATCACGTCAAATCAACTCCGATTCTCACCAAATTCGGTAGACAAGTCATAAATATTATAGTGGACCTATACCGGACTTTGAAACCAAAATACGGACCCGGTGTCAATAAATCCAACATCAGTAAATTCTTAAAAATCATTAAGCTTTCAAACTTTTAATTTTTCATCAAAATTCCATATCTCGGGCTAGGGACCTCGAAATTCGATTCCGGGCATACGCCCAAGTCCCAAATCACGATACTGACCTATCGGAACTGTCAAAATACTGATGCGAGTTTGTTTGCTCAAAATATTGATCAAAATCAACTGAGTTGAGTTTTAAAGCTCTATTTCACATTTTAATCTATTTTTCACACAAAAACTTTTTCGGAAATTATACGGACTGCGCACGCAAGTCGAGAAATAATAAATAGTATTTGTTGAGGTCTTAGAACACATGATTACTTATTAAATTTAAAGATTACATTTTGGGTCATCACAAGACCGACTTTGGGCAGACTTTAGACCTAGGGAGAGCACGGAGCCGCCGTGGAGGCCGGAATTTATCAGATTCTATCTTTCTTCCATCAAACTTAGTAATCTTTATTTTTTCTTGATGATTTGTTATTTTGCTACCATGTCTATGTGGAGCTAAACTTCACGTTCTAGGGTTGTGGTTGTCATGAATATTGAAGTTTATTAATTATATTACCATTAATTCGAGTTATCATCTTTGGTTGTTTCTCTAATTCTGTGCATAATTGCTTAATTGTTTGGCCAGCAGTTGAGTTCTATTTACTATCTATGCTATGTTTGGGAAAGCCGTGTTTAGATTAGAGTAGAATTGGAGAGAGCTTGTTTCTGAACCCGTGGCTCGGGGAAAGATTTCGCAGTTAGGATAGGAATATACCTAACAGTCTTGCTTAGTTGAATACCGTATTATATTCATTCATGATAGATTCAAGATCATAGGAATATATGGTTGATATATTATGGATAGACGAATAGTATTGTGGGAACATGCTATTTATATAAACGATCCGGTCAACTAGCAATCATAGATAATTTGGATTAGCATGTATAATTACGAACTCAATAGGATTGATAAACCGACCACAACCCTGGAATCTATATCTCCCTTGGTTACGTGTTTGAATTTCGCAATAGTAATTGTAATAGAAAAGTTAAATTTTTGATCATCTTGGACAGTAAGTTGATTTTAGTTTGCTTAATTAACGATTAATCCAAGTATCTGTGAGTTCGACATCCGACTTTCGAGTCAATTTATTACTTGACGACCACGTATACTTGCGTTTGCGTGTACTTGAAACCAACAAGTTTTCTTTTTCAGATTAGCAAGCAGTTAGCATTTAAGTAGTGGTGACCAACGAAAAATTCCCCGTCAACTTCAAGAATGTTGAATACCATAATTTCTAGAATATTGTATAACATTGCAGGAGTTAATTTCACTGATGGTCATTGAAGTATCTTTCAATTTTACCAAAATTATTTAATTATTTTTTGTCACTTAAAAGTAACTAAACTTTATCATTGTCACTTAAAAGTTATTTTGCCTCAAACCCCTACCATAAATATGACATGGCAATAAATTTTATGATAAAATTCAAAAATAAATGCCACATAAGCTAATATGGGTCATACTTATTTTAGATCCATTTATCCTTTAATGTGATTTGACCCATAATCCAAATGGGTTTCGATAAAAAAAAATATTAAGTTCTACATTAGTTTAAAATGATTATCATATACTACAAAGTTTTACTTTTTTTTGTTACATAATGCACATTCATAATTATTTTATACTAAAATAATCTATGCTAGAAAATTCTTATTTTGTTTGCATGCCCCATTCGAGTCATTTTATAACTCTGCTGAAACTAAAATACTATTGTATCCAAACTAATGTGCTAGAAAATTCTTATTTTGTTTGTATGCCCCATCCGAGTCATTCATAATTATTCTATACTAAAATAATCTATGCTAGAAAATTCTTATTTTGTTTGTATGCCCCATCCGAGTCATTTTATAACTCTACTTAAAATAACTCGGATGGGGCATAAATGACTCGGATGGGGCATACAAACAAAATAAGAATTTTCTAGCATAGATTATTTTAGTATAGAATAATTATGAATGACTCGGATGGGGCATACAAACAAAATAAGAATTTTCTAGCATAGATTATTTTAGTATAGAATAATTATGAATGTGCATTATGTAACAGAAAAGGCAAAACTTTGTAGTATATGATAGTCATTTTAAACTAATGTGGAACTTAATATTTTTTTTTATCGAAACCTATTTGAATTATAGGTCAAATCACATTAAAAGATAAATTGATTTAAAATGGGTATGGCCCATATTAGCTTATGTGACATTTATTTTTGGATTTTTATCATAAAATTTAATGTCATGTCATATTTATGATTGGAGTTTGAGGCAAAATGACTTTTAAGTGACAATAATAAAGTTTAGTTAATTTTAAGTAATAAAAAATAATTAAATAGCTTTAGTGAAATTGAAAGATAGTTGAATGACTATAAGTGAAATTAACCCCGTAGAATAAATTAAAGCATACAACTTATACTCAAATCAAACAAATATTTTTATACACGCAACCTTAAAAGTTCACCTCCTTTTCTCCGGTACTCATACACACGCACGGTACCCAACCAATATTTTAAAACACTCGACCAATAAAAGATTTCACCTTATTTTTAAAGCATACATAAATATAATATATTATTTTTCTGCTGAGATTCTTTTTATCCCGTTCCAATATTTTTAACGCGGAATATATGTCTGCAACTTTCCATCACCATTATTACCACCACTACTATCACCAACAATAGTAGTAGTTCTCATCTTTAGCTTAGCCCGATTGATAAAATGAGAAACCCTGTCATTAAAACTGTCCCTTCTTGTCGTTGTCCTTTTAGCACCAGCTGCTGTATCATCATTCTCATCTGTAACAACGAAAGTTGACGTAGCTTTTATCTTGTTCTTCACGTGATCAATAAAATTATTGAACTTCTCATTACTAGCAGTAGTATTAGTACTAGTAGTAGTAGTAGTATTATTATATCCAGCTTGAAACTTCACTCCTTTAGGTCCCTGATTTTGCTGAAAATTTGCTTCCATATTGTTTACCGGGCCGGGCTTCTTTTCAGATTTGAACATGGGCTTGGGCTTGTGATTATACTCTATGAATACATTGTTTGAAGCAGAAGCAATGGCGGTTGACGGCTTGGTATCAGGTTTTTTAGTAGTAGAAATTGGGCTCTGTGTTAGTGGACGAGCTGAAGAAAAACGACGTTTAAACGCCTTGAAAATCTTTCGATATGATCCTTGGGACTGAGATTGTAATTTGGTGTTGCTCTGGTTCTTTGCCATTTGAGAAGAAGTCCGATTGTGTTTTGTTTTGTTTTGTGAGTTGAGATGGGAAAAAAGGTAAGGATGAGGACGTTTAATATAAGAGACGAGATTAAGGATTTATATTAATTAAGTCAGTTCCTTAATCTTGATAATTAGGACTCTATGGTGTGAAAGGATAAACCCAATGAAGCCGAAATTTCCACTAGATATTCCTCATTTGGCCATCGTGTAGAAATAATTATGTACTTTATTTGCTATTGTAGACATATTACAATAATATGATTCTGGCCATAAGGGGATCATATTCCTCATGACTTTCTCATGCTTTCCTTTTTGACAAAAAAGATGAATGCATATGCACTGTTAGGTAGAAAGCACAATTTGCTAAGGCCCGTAATCGGACCGCATAAGTTTTTATAACTAGTTCAGTCTATTGTCACAATTTAATAATTTTCAAACGATAAATTAAACACATATATCGAAAAACATTATACACATAATATTTTTTATTTGTGAAACAGTATCAATGACACCTGTTATTAAAAGATGTCTTTGTCACTTGGTAGGAAGAAAATGGAAACTTGGGAAAGTGGAACTAAACATCAGCATAAAGGCAGTGGCATCGTATTCGAAAGGGGAGAGAGTAGAAGGGTTTACGTTTCAAAGTCTTAAAGTAATAGCAGGACTTAGACTAATTAGTAGAAGGAAAAACAGTGGATTATTGGTTGTAAGAATCGCTTTTTTTTTTTGTTGAAGTCAGGAGAGACAGAATTTTCTGCAATACTCAGAAATTTCGATTTCTAACTCTTGGAATTTAGAATTTTTTGTTAGAGAATCTTCCTCTTAAATGGACTTTAGACTATGCAAATAAGAATTAATCGAGCCCATATATACTGAATACCACCCAATGGTTTAATAAAAAGGAAAAAAGAGAGAGCATCATTTCCAGCTATATAGACCCATTTTTCCTTCGAAAATCAACGGCCAACTAGAAGGGGAACAAGGTATATATTGCCTTGGGCAAGAAGAAGAAAATGGAAGACAGAAATGTCAAATCACAGCTGAAAAAATAATAATACCGTGCAGCCGTCATTTTAGAAAACAGATTTTTTAATGGTTGGATGAAAAGGCTGCTATTGGCTAACTAGGTAAATAAAAGCATTCATAGCGATTAGAAGGCACTAAAAACTTTTTTAGGCATAGCTTTCTATCTTTGTTAGGCTTTTTTCTATCTAATAAAAAAAGAGCTAGATAATTAAAATGTAGAATATTTCGTCCCTTGCTTTGTTAGGTTGTCTTACATTGAATTAAGGAATTGATTGTTAGCTTTTGCGATTAGATTAAGCTCACTTTCTATTTTTTTTTAATCATGATATCAAACTAAACCCATCCGTTTATCAAAAAATGAGCTTGTGAAATAGAAGCACAAGTCAAACCGTTGAATGGAGAGATGAATTGAGGCTATACATCATTTGGCATAAAACTTCTCAATTTACGAATTAATCCAGCTCAATACTATCTACAGGTTAAATTCGAGTTTCAAGAAAGGCTAACACAACCAAAAGCTCCTAAACCTTCACATGAGCTATTAGAACTACTTCGGCACAAAAAAAAATTGATTCTGTGAGCGAGAAAATGATATTTCAGCAGACGATTTCAACAAGAGAGTGAGTGAATCGGCTTTCTGCTCAACCACAGACCACAATAAGCACATCAATGACGAAAAGTTTTCACCACTTGGTCAATCCGTCTCCTACAAAGTGGGCAGTTTGTCAAGTGTGAAGAGCACGTCATGCAACAACACATATGACCACACCTGCGAAACAAACAGGTATAAGTGCACCAAATATTATATCATAGTATCAAGAAACATAGGATTTTCAGAGCAATGAGTATGCTTTCTGTATAAAACCAACATAAAGTGCTCAAGCTTGGCAGTTAATATCCAGCAGTTATTTAATGTATTGGAGGTGAGGATACACCACCTTCAGTCCCATGTTCCTATCCCATCTCCTGTTCCAAGTAACAAAGTGTCTCCAGCCCACTCTAATGGCAATACCATACAATAGATAATCATCGATAGAACAAGAGATGGAACAAAATACTCCTATGCCGCAGTTTCCCTGCGTTTTTCTACTCTGACCCCTCAAAGCCCTTAATTTAATTTGTGCAGTGTGTTTAAGAAAATTTGCCCAGATGGGGTGATGAACCAAACGAGGAGAATACTTCAATAGAATGATGCAGATTTCATACTCTGCCAGTGAAAGACAATTGGAACATACGCAAAACCTGATGACAAGTCTGGGACATAGGTTTACTTTCTCAGAATCTCATTCAGCGGCTGAGACGTGGAGAAAAGGGGGGCTAACCCATAAGTAATCAAATCCAATTAACTCGACTACACAAGAACCTAAAGTCAGTTGAGGCAGCTATATGAGTCCTCTACACACGCTGCTCCATTCAGGACCATCTCATTCCAATATTAAACAATTAGACTTTTAAGGCAAACTAGGCTCCAAAATCTCGCACTTATCCTTGTAAGGTAAACAGTAAACTAGTTTTATCTGAATTAGGTGTTCTTGCTTATATGAACTCTTTTCTGTTGTGATGGGTTAGTCATAAAACGAGTCAACAACTAAACCTCATTCCAAACTAGCTGGGGTTGGCATATGAATCTTGATAAATATGCGAATTTTGCAGCAAAGCAATTTGTCCTGAAAATTAATTTTTTTGAAGTAATAGTGATAAAAGATGAATGATAGGAAGCCTGTTTATTTATGAAGAACATAACTTAGGAAAGAGGGGCGCTCGATTACAACTTGCATAGGCAGTTGTTTATTAATTCACAGAGCGTCTTAGTTAACATGGTGCATCTCTAAAGGCTCAACATCAACATGGCAACAATCCACTGATTGGGATGAAATGTGCCATTAACTAGGGAAACAAGATCTGAAGTGGGATGCGAGGAATCGTTCAAACTGCAATAGTGGCTTTTCATGTACTTTCTCCACGGTAAGAAGCAAAATGCCCTTACCATGGTAATATAATAGACTAAATCATAAGAATCCCAAATAACCAGAGGTAAGTTAAAAGGGTCTTACGGGACAAAAACTGAGTTGTATTCCCGCTCCAAGCATATGACGCATAAATCTGGCATTAAATGGTGAGTATCCACTCCATTCTCAATTGTAGCATTAGAACCTACATTTCAACAGGAAGCAAAATAGTACAATTTGATGGCAAAGTAACCAAGGATTGAGACAATATGATAGAAGAATGAAAACCAAGCAGGCTACCTTTATCCTCATGTCCTGTCCTTTTAGCAGCAGCAGCAAGAACCCTGCACGGTCAAGCGTTTCTCGGATTAGGATTATTAACGAAAAAGGAAAAACAGAAAAAGCCAAATTGTCACTTGAAATGTACAGAATTGCAAAGGCATCAATTGGAGGAATTCTGTAATATAAGAACATAAAAATGACGGGCACACAATCTTTTCCACTCCAAACGAACTGATGCACAAATATATTTCCAGTAAGTTCAATGCCATAAGCATTGAGATCTAGATCATTAAAAGAAGAAAATACCTTTCTGCATTGGTAATTTTAGGGAACAAGAAGAAAAAAACAGCAAAGTTTCACTACGCAGGATAGTTTTAAGTTGATGTTAAAAGTTTCTCTAGACATGTCTAAATTCTACATTTTTCTCCCTGTCTTATATAAGACAACTTATGTAATTTAATTTAAAGCAGTTAATGAATGAACACTTTCTGAGTATCTCCTTGTTACAGCTTCTCTCTTCTCTCACTCTCTCGTTAACTTTCTCTCTTTCTCCCTTTCTCATTTTCTCGGTCCTCTCTACCCTCTTCTTGGTTCTACATCAAATTCTCCTCCCTAAATTACTTTTTTGGCTTTGCCATCTTCAAAAGCATCTTTCTAAGCAACTCATTGATCCCCCAATTGAGCTAACTGACGCAGCCTAAAGAAAGCGACGTCTTAAACTAGCAGCATCTCACCTCATCCTTGAAATCAAACATGAAAAGAAAACACAGTGAGGTAAAACTTCTACACCATAGTAATTTTTAAAAGCATCATGGTAGCCAAACATCTAAGAAGTACTTTACAAGACACGAAACTGAGGGAATATTAAAGGGAAAAAAAAAGAGAGAAAAAGAACCCTGCAGTTTTAAGAGTCTTAGGTTAAACATACCTCCTGCGCAATTCCCAGTGACGCTTTCGTTCCATCACATAACGAAAAGCATGCTTCACAAGTAGATATACACCGAAGACTGTAAAGCCCATTGAAGCATATTTGTACCATCTGAAAGGAAAAGAACTTATCAATACTACTTATGAGACCACCATCAACAATTCCTGGGCGCATATAGACATACTCAAGAGGGAATTTTTTTTTAATACTACAAAATCCCCCGAGGGCAAGCTGGTGCACGGTGTGAAACTTGGTGGATAATAGGCCAGTGCCACTACCCTTATCCACTTAAATACACCCCCCCTTCCCCTACTCATGGGGGAATTGACATGTTCATGCAAGTTATTTTATGAACTTCCATTTTTCCTGAAAATATATGTGTTGAACGGATATGATACAGATCTTATAAAATACACTACCCTAATTGAAGTAGAATGTACTCATGTCAATGAGTTCGAACTTATCATTGGACGCCAGCCTGTGTACGTATAGTTACTTAGGAAAATATAGGGGTGATATCAGTTGGAAAGTAAAGCATACTAACCTTGACCATTTCCCAAGATTTGCAATGAGCTGGTCAATAGTTTTATCAGAGACATAAAACGGGCCTTTGTGCGGTTGCTGGATCCGAATTGTTCCAATGTCATCTGTAACAGCCTGAAACAATTACAAAGGTAAAAGGAACTTGTTACACTCTACAAACAGCTCTTATCTGCACAAGTGAACAATGAATGCTTAAGCATAGCCAGAGTAATCTTGTAATATTGGATGAATTTTCATACTCTTATTTCCTTGTTAGTTTTTTATATTTGTTATTTGTTTTATTTATTAATTTTTCTTCAAAGTATTCCCTACCAATCAGGTAATGATGACAAATGAAAAATACGAGGAATGGCAAATTTAAAGCAAGTCCAAACTTTGGATGCTTGCTCCTCCCAGTTGCAACAAAAGACCCGAGCCATTTTGTATATTTGTTTAATGTTAATACACTGTTTTGATATGCATTTTATGTGATTCAAAGGCATAGTTTAATTTCTGTATCTCTTGGATCAATTTGAGTTTGTTCTAGAGTTGAATCCTCTTAGGAAGTCTCCTCCCTTTTTACCCCCAAGAACAACAATTTTTTTTCAAACAAAAGAATGTGTCAACTAATACTAATATTTCTAATTCAGATAAATACCAATTATATTGAAAGTACTGAGACTTAATAAGTATATAGAAGGTGTTCCATTTCTCTAGCTTTCTTATTAGTGGTCATCAGTTTTATTTACCATTACTTTAGGAATACATAGAGCGGGTAATCAATGAGTTGACAGAATTTAGGTATTAGCATCATCCAAATTCTGTTAATGTGTGTTGCTCCTTCTAAGAGGCAGAAAGCAACAGTTTTGCTTTCAGGTAAAGTACTGTGGCCCCAGTTCGACAGACCTTACCAAATTCTTATGATCATTAGTTCTTAACAATTTTTTAATCAAATCTCAGGTAAGTCTTGACAGTAACCTAGTCTTATTTGGAATTACTATATTATTCAGCTTTTCCTCTTTTTTTAACTTAGAAATATCAAAATAATAGGCATTTCACTAAGAACATATGAACTGCATAAAAACCACAGCTACACAGTTATCAGATGTATTCATATCTCAATAAATGGCTGAGAATGTTGTCATCCACTATGATTACAAGATACAAAAAAATTGAGTATTCGATTCAGAAAGAAGAAAAGAAAAGTATCTATATGTGATGCAGGTGTAACAATCTCTACTCAAAAGGCATATCATACCTCGCCAACAACAGTCAAAGAAGTACCAACTGGTAGCACACGTTCAATCCTCTTCACTCCAAGCATCTTCAAAAGTAATCATCACTTAATTAACTTCATCAAAATACAAAAATACATGGTCACACAGCAGATATGCAAGTGACTGGTGAGACTGGGTTCCTGCAATACACTACCTTCGACACTTATAAAGCTAGTTAGAAATAGCCTTGCCAGGAACGCGCGAAAATAGGTTGGAGTCAAAGATACCATCAATAAGATTTAGAGTCTGAATATTTAGCTAGGCGGATATTGCACCTTTGTCAAGGGTACCAAAGTTGCCATTTTGAGAAGTTTTGCTTTTCATCTGTCCTAACTCCTAACTCCCCGGGGGCCATACTCGAGAAAGAATTTGGTACTTAGACACTAGTTTAAGGAGTACACTAGGTTGACCAAAAGACGCGCACAGTTATGAAAAAACAATTACAACCTGCGCTATGACTGGTACTGAGAAGAAGACAATGAATAGGAGAGAAAAACAGGTTGGATTTCCTTTTCATGGTAACTAATTCTTCCTGTCTTATTATTCGGTACAATTGGCAAAGAAAGAGAAGATTCATATCCTTTTTTTTTAGAAGGTAAGATAATTTTTATAAATAAACTAGCACAAACAGTGTCTATTAAGACAAGATTCACATCCTTGCCTTCATGCAGTTTGGGTGGAGAAAAATATGGAGAGATATTCTCCTTCCCTTCTCTTTCATGTCCTCTCCCATTTACTTCTCCTCCTCCTCGTTCACTCAAAGTGAACTAGACAGTGAAACCATACCCATGCATGACTATGACTTACACGTAGAACAGAAGTTGTATATCAAAATTCAAAACAGACCTTAAGACCTTGGAGATAATCCAATGTCCCTCGCACAAATGATCGCCCTGCTTCCTCAAAGACTTCGCTTCCAATTGTCAGTACCAATCCCGAGGCACCACGGCCACCAATTACAAAAGCACGGCCTGTGCCATCATTCTAGTACACAAATAAAAAACAATTAAAGAATGCATAAATCTAAGTACCACAAAATTCTCAAAAATTTCATCTATACAGCCTGCAAGATTATTAAGATAGAAAGAGAAGAGGGAAGTCATTCCAACCAGGTACCACGGAACTTCTTTACACATCGAGAGCATCAATGCAGAATCCTGTATCCAAGACCCTGCATCATTGTGTTTCAGAAAATGTTGCTCGGCCTGTAATAATATCAAGAATATTTAATATAACAGCATTGAAAGGAAATATAGACATCCTACGCTATTACGAGGCAACATAAAGAACGAGGCAACGTACAGTTTCTTCCACGATCACGCCTCGTAGACCACTTAACTCACAGTTAATTGGTGTATCTGAACCAACCCTTCCAGATACCGTAACCACCAGAGGCAAAACTTTGGATGCAGTATCTAGTAGTTGTGCTAAAATAAAAGGAGTACAAAGATCATTCAAACTTGAAAGAGTTAGCTAATGAGAGGCAATGATAAGATGTATACAGTGCAACTATCCAATATTAAGTTCTAAACTCCAGAATTGGTAATGAAGTGTAGTGAACAGATGTTCAACTTTCTTTTAATTTAGTCGAATATCATTTTATTAATTGCACCAAGATCGTGCCTGAATTACAATAATGCATGTTTTATTTATCCTCCAGAAATTCCATCCAACTATCCATACATAAAGGATATCGTCTTTACACAAAAAATACAAGTAACACAGTAAAGAACTCTTATTCTCCACAAGTGCTTTTCAATTCCTTCAAATAATCTTCTGGTTATTAAAAAATATTCCTTCAAATAATCTCCTATTCTTTATCTCCAGAAACCAGAATATACATAAAGTTAGGACCTTGCTAATTTTTTTTCTTTATCTTCCTTGATGTTGATCTTCCTCCAACTTGTCAAAGCCATTTGCCTGGTTCTTGAATGTAACCGCACTGTAGTAGCGAAAGCAATTTAAAAATCATAGTAAATGAAGCTTCGCAGAGTAGTGGAAAAAGTGCAATGTGTAGTTAAATGATCTGTATCTTCCTCTCCATTCTTACACTGTTGCACATGCAACACCAGTTAATCAATAATCATTCCCTGCATCTCTTCCTTAAGTTGTTCGCCATAATGTGGCATTCAAACTTGGGCACAAATTGGAGCTTTTGTCTTCTAATAACCTCCGAATGCCCCTCCTCCAAAGGGGTGATCACCCGCTTCCATTCAACTAAATGATACTTCATTTGTTCCTATAAGACAGAAAAAAGACATATGTACAGGGACATGTAGTAGGTAGGAATTCTAGACAAAGCTGACTTTACAAGGGTTTATTTTGATCTCTTTGACAAAACTGCTTTTTCCAATTCTCGAGCCTCCCAAATTTCTCCACCATCAACCTCCACTACTCTAGGCTTTAAACTTGTCTCCCAAAGGTAATCCAATATATTCTGCAGCCAGTGACACAACTCACACCCTAGTATGCATTTCTCTTACCAGTATTGATTCCGACTTTCTCATGTTGACTCGTGGTCCCAAAACTGCTCCAGATGATACCAATATCTCTCTTGAACAAGCATCTAATATCTCTTGTTCATGCACAATGAACCAGTTATATCCTCAAGTTCTCATCTAGTTCAGTAATTTGCAAGTGCCTTCATAACTAGAAGGAACAACAAGGATATCCTTGTCTAATACCTATACTACTCCTAAAAAGTTCACTCCTCCATATAAGAGGTAATTCAAATTTACAGGGTTATACACCTTTTTACATCCAATTTGTATAGTAACCCCACAATTTACTGAACTTACCATGTACTGAATTGCCTAAGTATTTCAGCTAACACAGCCTCACTCGAATATGGTCGGAACCTAGCTCCCATTTGGTACTCACTCATCCTATATACTTCGGCAGAACCCAAAAGCCACTTATAAATAATTTATCCAGAACCCATAAACTCAAAATCCTAGCTCCAACACATAAGTTAGAGCCTCTACTTTTCCAGTTTTAAATTAATAATGGTAAGCTGAATCAAAAAAATAAAATAAAATTGGTTTACACAATAAATAAATCACAGAGCTAAAGTTAGTTACCAAGATCCTTCAATTGATTGACCCTTGTAACGGATTTAAGCACTTCAGCATCTCTGCATTAGGAAAACAAACAAACCCATTCTAATTCACGGACATGTACTTAGTAGAGCAATAAAATTCGAGAACCAGAAAACAGAAAACAATACAAAGATGCAATTTTTAAGATGAATAAAAAGGTGGAAAAATAAAGGTACAAACCTTCCACTGCTCCTGCCGAGAAGATAAAGAGCGGCTGCACTCAAACAGCAAGAGAGTCCGCCCCATGGTACCATTTTCGGTAGTAGCTCCAATAATAAACCGAACAAAAAGAAGGGGAAAAAATAGAACAAAATTGACAGAGATAAAAACTAATTCTTGGCCCTAAGGAATGAAATTCGAAGTAAGGCAAACAATTATCAGGACAGTAGAACCCATGCGACAAATAAAAGTGCGAAATTTATATAATAATTATGAGAATACTAAAAAGCTGAAAAGAGAAATTATTTGAAAAGGGGTAGTTTTAAATGGGGATTAAAAAAAATTAAAGGAATTTGAAGATGCGGACACGCCACAAGATGCCAAGAGTGGGTAAGAGGATGATCGGCAAAACTTCAAAGTCCAGTTATCCTCTGATACAAGACTGTCACACTGTTGTAAAATAATTACGTGTATTTAATTGTATGTAGATGTCCATTCCGCATAAAATTACTTGGAGATCAATCTTTTTAGTTTAGGAATTTTATTACTTTAGTAGCACTCAGGTTCTGTATATGCCTAAGTAGATAGTATTCACTGTTGCTAGTGTTTAGTACTACTAATTCCCCTCCATCTTTTTTATTTTTTTATTTTTATTTTATTCTTTATATTATTATTATTATTATTTCTCTCGTCTTCCTCTCGTTGTTCTTTCTAACCTTATGATCTATTGAAAATGGTCTCTCTATCTTCACTAGGGCTAAGGTCTGCGTACGCACTATCTCACTTGTAATAATATACTAAATTTGTTGTTGTTGTTACTGGTCTATGTCCTTTTCGACAAAAGGATTTAAATTTTTGTAATTTTGATAAATAATTAGTTTTTTTAGCCTAATTAAGATGTCACCTATGTCCAAGTTTTGTTAAAATAAAGGATAAATATGAAACATACGACAAAAAAATTAATGGTCTTAAAGCATAACATACGATTAATTAAACTATTTTGTATAGTATACAACTCAAGAGTGTGGCCGAAAATCAATAAAGGGAATATAAACCTTGAAGACCTAAAATTTCAATTGAAACAAAGAAATACTAGTGAAAAAATTTCAATTCCTATCAACCTAAGTTTTAGGAAGGGAAAAAACAAAAAGTATAGTAGAGGGTTAAATTCGAAAATTTTAGCCTATTACGGAGTATTTGTTTTTGTTTATTTACAGGAAAAGGCCTCCAACTTCGGACCTAAACCCCTACATATTGGTTTTCGCTTCAATTTCAAATCACGGCAGTGCTGAACTCCATTCTCGTTCGGCCGTGGACTTGTTTCTCAGTTCTCTTTCTCCGGCGAAATCGGGTAGTAAGTTCCCCTCTTTTAGATTTCACCTGCTTCTCTAATGAGACAAAAACCCTAATCCATATTTTTCTATGAGCTTAAGGCTAGAGTACAACATCTGAAAATTTGGGTTTGCAATGCTTTGTACTTGCTCCGAATGTTTAAATATAGCCACAAATTCAATTTGTCATAGCTCTATGTGATTCTTGTTTGCTTTTCACGTGATAGTGGCTCCAAAGATGTGTTCTTTTTTGATTAGTTCTCTTAGGAAAGAGGCAGGATGAATAAAGCCGGAAATGATGAATTGTTTAATCATCTATCGCAAGCATTTTAGTTGAGAATATGTTTTCGACATGTTAGAACTTTTAATGCAGGTCCTATGCTTCTAGGAGCGGTTTAGCCTTTCAAAGGTTTATACGTTTAGAAAATATGGAGAACTTCTTATACTTTTTTGTTGTATTTGCATAATATATTGTCATGAGATGAGTTTGAATGGAGTAACATGGTCAAGACGATTCATATAACCGCCCGACTTGTTTGAGACTGTGACATAGTCATAGGTTTCAAGTCATTTACCAAATTCGTTTCTCAAATTCACGAATTTGAGTTCAAAAATTGAAGTAAATTGCCCCTTAAATTCAGTTATAGTCTATTGAAACAGGCCCTTTTAGTTAAGATTAGTATGTTAGAGAACTTGATAGGTGATATCCCTATAAATAATACTCCCTTCGTTGCATCTTATATGGTGTTTGATGGGGTATGGCGTTTAAGAGAAAATTGACTCATAAATTATGTGAGTACTAGGATGGGTGAGTCATTATGACTTTATGAGAAACCATTAAAGTGATGGTTGAAAAGCTAGTTTGATGGACAAAATATCATGTCAAAATTTGAACTTTGAATAGTTTAATGAATTTGAATTCCTAAAAATTGTAAAATTTGTTTAGAAATGGAATAGCATCATATAAATTGGAATCACGAGAGTAAATTTTTGTTACTTGACATATAAACTGTGTGAAATTTCAGATTCCTGGCAGCTGAACCCGTGAAAGACACAGCAAACTAACGAGAATCTTCCCATAAAGATAAGAAAATGGTAATATTACTTTATCCTTTTCTTTTTGCTGTTCTTCTTCTCGATTAAGTTCTATCTTCATTGAAGTCTTATGGTTGTTATAGATAGGAAACTCTGATTCCTTCACGAGAGTGAATGCTTTTTTCTTATGTTTTTGACTTTGTCTAACTGAGTTTTCTCCCATCCCACCCTTTCCAGTTGTTTTTTTCATACTTCAAGGACCTGGTGGGCAGAGAAGTGACAGTGGAACTGAAGAATGATTTGGCTATCCGAGGCACGCTCCATTCAGTTGATCAGTATCTCAACATTAAGCTCGAAACCACAAAGGTCGTTGATCAAGACAAGTTCCCTCACATGGTAATTGCACCTTTTTTTCTCCTTCATATGGATTTTGTGGGTTGGTAAAGGATTGCTTTCNCCCCAAAAACACGCACACACACACGTATCCAAGAATTTCTGTCTAATTCGGCTCTAATTATACTGTTGAGATTCATTCTATTTTCTGTGTACGCACTAGGAGGAAGGATGCTATCTTTCCTCTAGTATTCAGTGATTGTAGTCCCAATGAACCATAGTTTTCTTAAAAGCCTTTGACTATTGGTTGGATATGTGCACCAATAAAGGTTAATCTGAAGTGTTGATGTTTGTGAAGCTTCGTGATTTGTGATCATTACTTGATGTTTCTGAGGTTCAATATCAGATGAGTTGCTTTTAGAAGCTTGCTTCAGGGACAATGTTTGTCATCTCACTGGTACTAATATCAATGCAGCTCAATTTGACAAGTGGTATGGTAATCCAATGTCATTTCCAATCAGTGGGAACTTTTCAGTAGATGGTTCATCAAATGGGCTTAAATTATTAAATTTTGTTTGTTAAACAGTGTACTGAGCGGTGAGCATGCAAATGTGGCGGTATACCTCAAAAGTGTCAGATTGAATGGTCAAGGCAATTTGTGTTAGCATATGGTTTCTGTATTACTACAAGGACTTGGGTACCTGCTACGATCCTGTGGCTGTAGTAAGAGATGATGGTTCCCCTTCCAAATAAATCACTATACATTTTCTCTCTTTCTTTCAAAATACCTTGTGGAAAGTTAGTATCTGGAACTGATTGGTATTCTCTAGTTGATGATCTTGCCAATTGAGAACTAAAAAATATGTGGAAAGGTTGATCTCCAATATGTTGCTCTATTTGTTTTTTGTTTTATTTGATAAAGTAAAGGTTTACTAGAAAACAGTACCAAGATGGTACTGCAGCAAACTTTCTGGTATAATTGACCAAGACCATCTTTGCATTTAGTTTTGTAACTGCACGAATTGAAACTGGAGCAACAATTGCCCGATGATGTTCTTATATAAGATCAGATCCCCCGAGGATGCAAGGGACTATGTTTTCAGTAACAATGCTTAGTAAAATCTACTCCAAAGTTGAACGACCAGCAGAGACTGTAGAGTAGGTAGCACACAGTGATTGGCCTAACAAAATCCTCATTACAACATAAAAGTAGCCTTTATGCTACTATTCATATGTCTTTGCTGGTGCATACGCATGCAAAGTTCCAAAAATAGAAGTGCTAAATGAACATGCAAATACATTGTGTTTACTGGTTGAAACTGATGCCTTTAGCAGTCCCTCCCTCTCCTTGCTTTCTTGGTTCATGTTCCTTTCGCCTACTCCATTTGTCTTTCCTGATAATGTTTTTGTTTTTCATGTACTATATTTTTTTGTTGGTATTCCGATTAACATTTTTCGTGTTACTTTGATGTAATAGCTTTCAGTGAGGAACTGCTTCATCAGAGGATCGGTTGTGAGATACGTCCAGTTACCTCCCGAGGGAGTTGACATTGAGCTGCTTCATGATGCTACGAGGAGAGAAGCTCGGGGTGGCTAAAATCTGGACTTTGAAAATAGATGTATTTTTAAAAGATTTTGAGTGGGTAAATCAGCATATACTGATTTCTTTTCTCAATGTTCAATGTATTTCTGGATGCTATTATTGCTATTGTATGCAGTGCTTTTTATTCTTCCTTTTCTTCTTCCGTCACTATCATTAAGCGACTATTATGCCTGCTGCAAATTGTGTGGTGAAAGCCGTAGATATGAAGTTCTGGCAAGGAAAATAATTGGTACCAGAAATACAGGTTTTTAGTGCATTCTGGCTAAATTTGTCCATGGGTTCTTTCATGCGAATTCGGATGAGCTTGGGAAGAAGTAACACTTTTCATTGCAATGTTTGCAAAGTGAAGTTCAGTATTAAGTATTTGCGTCTCAGTATTTGAAATACTAGCGAAATATTGAAAAACTTGTTTGAAGAGTATTTTAGGTGAAAAATTTGACCCCTTTTTAAAGTGAAATTTATGTCTAAACACAAACTCTCAATATGTTCTTTTCAACTTCAAATACTTTATCTCAGCTTTATTCAAATATTACGTATGTTGAGGAGGTAAATTCAATTTACAAAAACAATTAGGGACATATAAGTTAAAAGGGCTTTACTCCAATAATACTTTGTAGTGCGAGTTACGGCAATATTTGTTTTCGACAAGAAAGCTTAAAATATGAAAAAGGAAAGAAGATAGAAATGGTAAAATATTCAACAAGATATTCTCACTCTACCATATATAGCTACCGCTTGCCATACCTCAGGCAGTCACATAGGATACTAAAAATCACTCATTACAAGTCGCCAAGTATGGAAAGCAATGAACGAAATAAAATGATTATTTATTACACGGATTATGTATTCTGGGCAGAAAACAACAACAACAACAACCCAGTAAAATCTCATTAATGGAGTCTAGGGAGAGTAGTGTGTACGCAGACCTTACCCTACCTCGAAGGAGTAGAGAGACTGTTTCCGAAAGACCCTCGGCTCAAAAAAACAAAAAGACAAAAGGAGAGAGGCTGTTTCCGAAAGACCCTCGGCTCAAAAAAATAAAAAGACAAAAGGACAAAAAAAAGACAATATTAGTATCACAACAGCAATCATAAAAAAAATAGGAACACCATGAAATCTAGAAGAAAGATGCAAAGTAAAGGGGGACAATATTAATATCACCACAATAA